TCTTAGAGCAACGAAGTACACACCAGCGAAAGACTGACTCCATTTTAAGACTCTGCAGAAGCCTATGCTGACATTTGCTTGTAGTCTCTCGAGGTCGTTCACACAGGCAGCTCCCCTCATTGAATAAGAATTTGATTGTATTCACTATTACATGAGACGGCACATTCATTGAATAGATAGGTCTGATGGAGAGGTTGAAGTTGCTACGCTGAAATGCGTAGAAAGTCTCCGAATGTCGTTGATTTTTACGTAACTTTGCCTCCTAAAAGAACAGTTCTTAGGCGAGATCGGTTTCATTAACCCTCCAAACGGGTTTCAAAGCTGGGTGACGCAATAACATCACAATTCCGACTCATTTCATTATTGGAAATTCAACTATTGATGCTAAATCATCTTAAATGAATTAAATGAATTATTTCTGAATTATTCTTACACAAGACTTACTACTAGTTTCGAAAACTACTTATTAATTAAATAGAAGTGTTGCTGAGTTTAGCAGAAGATATAAGTTTGAAAGGCCTGTTTAAGCTAGAAAACCATATCTTCCCAATGTGTGGTGGAACGGTCGCGAGCACTTATCGGTTTCGAATCCCGTTGTGGAAGTTGATGAGACTGCACAAGTCCTTCCAAGAGGTTTTGTCTTTGGATAAATCTTTCTTTATCTGTCGAGTACAACATGAGCACTCGTTCTTGTTCAAAGATTGCGTGAATCGAAGATAAGATATAAGCTTTACTTTACTTATAAATGCGTAAATTCGGCAAGACAGTCGGGAAGATAGATGAAGATTAATCCTATTACCTGTTATGCCACAAATAGTTGTTTTCTTTTTTCCTATTTCTTATTAATATGAAATAATTAGAAATTTATAGATGAGATGTTTTAACACTATTTCGATAAAAGATGAATGAGTGGCAATTGAATGGTTCCACAATAATACGTTCATTGAATTTCACATAGCCTTGAAATTTACATTAGTCATATGACGCAAGGTCACTCTTGGTGATGTGACGTAGTGGTTGTCGTGTCGAGATTATACGCTGCACCATTACGAACCGGGCTCGATGATACAAGTTCAAGTGAGGTGGAGACTGCAGTCCACTTCAGCTTGGATGAGAATACCTTTTTGGAAACAGGAAAAGGTGAAATTGAATGGAAATATAAAATCTACTCATATCAAGCTGATACAATTAGACTATTAGTTCTTCATATTGTTTACGAAATATGGCAAATATTTCTCAGTTATATGTAATACTGTTAGTCTAGATAACCTACTCTTAATAAATTATTGTTGAGAATAAATACTTTATTAAAATTTATATCTTTTGATCCTTTACTATCATAAGCTTCACAATTCATAATATAACCACATAAAATGGTTTGAGAAGATATCAATATATGAATAGCAGCTTAGTTTCAAAGGATCCCTAAATTGACTGAATTGAGCATAACATTTTCAGATCATTAAAATGGCCAGTACAATTATTCGTAAGTTGGCTCAATCGAAAACGGAAAGCGTCTTGCCTTAGAGTTGTGATTACCAGATTGTGCAAAGAAGACCTCGGCTCATGGTCCTGCGGCTTCCAGCGGAACATTCGTTGGTCATTTGACAATCTTCATCGTAACTAAACATTATAATTTATTTCTCATTTTCTCTTCTTGCATGCGTTTCTTTCCGTTGTCACGCCTCTCAGATGGGCCCCGTTTACGAGGCCGCTCTACTTGGCGTGACGAGCCTAACTAAAGAGGCGCTCGACGAGGTGAGGACCTACCGGGAGCCTCCGGACGGTGTCAAGATCTGCATGAAAACCGTCTGCATGCTTTTAGGCCGTGAAGAGAGGTAATTAGCTTGTTTTGCACCGTTGTACGTCTGCTTGCTGACATGCCGATCTGCATGCATCAGCTCATGACTCACTACTACTGTCAAATTGATCAGTAGTGCTATCGGTTTGGACAAAGACCTTTTTCTGATATATAAAAACTGGAGGCTTCTAGACATTTGCTTGTGGACACGGTCAGTTGAGGTGTTTCAATCGTCAAAGAGCCAACCGACTGAGTGATGAAGTGGATGATAGGCTGGAAGAAGCATTAACTAGTTAGGCCAGAAGATCTACGATTTACGCATCCCAAGAGAGATTTGAGCTATCTTTGATTAGAAAAAAAAACGAAGGGCCAAAAGATAATAATATACATAATATTCTAGTACAAATTGGACGAGCTAAACTGGGTTTCGACAAAGCTGTTGACATATCAGTGCTAATTGGAGTCTCATTTCAGGTCAAAGTGTACAACGAAGAGATTTGCTTGGGCCAACCTCACAAGAAGATGCTGACTTTTAATGGAGCTTTCAGGTCCCTGTGAAAACTTTTCAATCTTCCATCTTACTTGCGACAGACATCTAAACCATTCCATTTCTCCTTTTCTTCTGTTGCTTTTGTTATTGTGATTATGAAGAGACAGTTAATCATTTTGACTTTGTGTTAGTCTGTCGTTTCCGTAATAATAAAATTCCACGATGATGACGTCTGTCTTGTGCCGGTTGCACAGGAACCGAAAGAGGATTTCTCGTGAAAGGCGTCAAGCTGATCTCAGACCAGTATAGCAGCCTATATACATCTTTTTGGCATATTTTCATTAAAACTGAGGGTAAGGTCAAAATAGGGTGTGTAAAACTTGAATGCCACTTTAGCATATCAGATGCTGGGATGCTTGAAATTATTTTTCTAATTAAGTATGATTTTCGTGACTACCAGTTAATCAGTAATATGAGATATATTCACCCAATTTCTTTTGAGGTGATGAAGGACTGGTAAAAGAAGAATTTTCCCACATGATATTAGTTGAGTTGACGCTTCCATTGAATTTCACATTGCCTTGTTTTCCCAAAAGTTGTTCTCATTCAGGCACAAATGCACTTCAGTTTCGACCTCGCATCGGTCTTATCAACACACCCATGCATGAGAACAACTTTTGGGAAAGCAAGGCTATGTGAAATTGAATGGAAACGTCAGCTCAACTCATATGATTGTGGGAAAATTGTTCTTCTACCAGTCCTTCATCACCTTAAATGAAATTGTGTGAATACATGTCATATTGCTTGAAATTAGCACCCAAATGCCAGTCTTGGATTGCATGTTTCAGATTATGGTTGACCTTGAAAGGGTTTACTATACGTCAAGGCTCTTACAAATGTGTTCATTAGAATGAGCTCCAAATTAGATTAAATCTGTCCAGCAATATGACAGGCGAAAGTTCCAAGGGTTATTTGACTTTTTATTTACAAAAAAATCGTGTGAATGGTCCCATGGGAGATGGAGAGAGGATTTTTGTAGTTAAGACCCTGGCATTTTGAGTATGAGTCATCAATCCGTCCATGCTGACCTCTTATTTGTGCCATAGTGACTGATGTTGTCGGAATCAGAGATCACCGTTAGATAAAATCCACCAGAAACATGTCAACCAGTCAATTGTCGTACATTTTCGTCATCATTTTACTTCCCATTTCCCATTATTTCCAGCTGGGAGGGTGCACGAGAAATGATGACTCTTCCCACT